CCATTACAATCGTTTTTGTATAATTTGTATAAGTTTTTGGGCATTTGGGACTGAGATTTTTATTTTTTGGACTTTTGTAAGAAGGGTATAAATCAAAGCTATGAATCAAAGAAACATTTGCGAATCCTACAGTTTGTAATAAAAAGATGTCTAAATAAACTAAAAAATCACACTACACAAATAGGTACAATGAAAACAAAACTAAAATATAGAGGTTATTGACAGTGATAGTGAAATGAAATTATAAAACAAACTATAAATAAAGGTGTTGTTTTTCGCATTTGTTTAAAATTTTTTAAAAAACGTCGAGAAAATAAAACTATAAGATAATTAAAAAAAAAAACACATGCTACAGATATTAGTACACCTGCTAAACAAACAATAAAAATTTAAATATGGAGGAGGGCGTTTTATTTAAATATGGAGGAGAGTGCGCTTCCTCTTTTATATCATATTTTCATATATATTTCATATATTAAATATTATTATATTTCATATAATAATATTTTCCTATCATTCATATTATTTCATATATATTTCCTCATATTTAAGGGAAGATATTACAAAACATATTATATTTCTACCACACAAATCAGGAAATTTGTAATTATTTACTTATAATGTGGGTTCATTAATAACACTTTCAGATTAGTTACCTTATTGTTAAACATAAAAGCAACATTAGATAAAAGAATAAAATGGTAAAAAAACTGCGGAAGCAAAACATCACATAAAACAACAACTATAAAAAACTAAAAAAAGTAAAAACCTTAACATCTTTCCTTTATACAACTTAATGATAACAGAGTTTGTTTTATATTGCTTGACACACTAGTTGCAGATAAAACATAGTTCATAATGTAAGTGTCTTCAAATAGAAAAATAAAAACCAGAATAACAACTTTTAAGCCAAAAAGAAAACATTGCTTTCATAACAGGGTTGGAGGTCCCCTCCAAAAAACCTGGCATTAGGGCCCTAAAATCTAAAAACTTTTACACTAGGTATTACTAAAAAAAAAGTCCCTTTAATTTTCAGAAAGGCTCATAAATTTACAAATGGGCCCCCTAAAACTGCTGCCCTCCCAATTGAGTATGTCGGGGAGCATAGCCACAGTTCTGTATAAATAATAAATACAGAATAATAAATAAATACTGACTTTAAAAAAGTAGATAAAAGCTGAAATATATAATATAATTTGAAATATTTTTATAACGAGTATAAATTAAGTAAAAGTTTTTTCACTTATTCTACGAATAAAATATTTACAAAAATTACACGGTACAATGAGATAAATTATAAAAAAGTTTAATATTTTTAGCACTAGAAACCTTTCAAAAAATCATCAGTAGCGTTACAATTGTATTCATATTAAAAAAATATAGTTTTTTAAAACAAGAAATGCTAATTATTTATTGAAGCTGATAGTTACTATGGTAATCTATTTATTGAAGCTGATAGTTGCTATGGTAATCTATTGGTCATAATTTAAACAGGAAATGTCAGCTAAATCTATCATGTTTTTGGTTGTGTAAAAGCTTTTCATATAATATTAAATTTTTTTTAATTTTTGAGCTCTAGAAATAAAAAAAGCTGAAAAAAAGGTTCTTTAATAGAATTATTTTTATATTGAAAATTGTATAGATGACTATCAAACCTATGTGTGATTGTCCATTTCTACAACTTGAAATATGTCCATTTGTGTGACATCAAGTATTAAGTTTTTGTTTTTCCAGTGTATGTAGCTTTCTAGTTAAATGATAAGCATTTTAAATAGTATATTACATTTTCACTATTACAAGTATTATGTTTTTTTAAGTTCCATATAATATCATTTGATGTTGTAAAGGTTTTGACATCTTGAAAATAAACTTGCATATTTTAAAATGATTATCTTTACATTTAAATAACCTAGCTTCTTTATTGGTTAATAGGTTTTTTGCAGAAGTAAGTGTTTTTAGTAAATTGGGTGGTTGTTTAAATGCAATTACTGGCTGGATTTCCTTCCTTTACTCTTTTATTTTAAGATTTAGTAAGCGGTTTTGTATCAGTAATAAAAGGTTGATAATTTACAAAAGGATGACAAAAGGTTGATAAAAGGTTGACAAAAGGTTGACAAAAGGCTGAAAAAAGGTTGAAAAAAGGTTGAGAAAAAGTTGAAAATTCAGATTGCTGTAAAAATTTGTAATTAGAGAAAATATTTTCTTAAATTGGTTTTGGGGATAAGCTGATCCTTGGAATTTTGCATTGTGAAATACTTTTTTAATAACATTACTAGAATAATAACATTTTTTTAGACATGTTTTTAGGTTTGTTTTCTCTTTATCGCAATCAGAGTTAAAAACAATTATTCTTATTGCGAGAATATAAGGAATTTCCTTTTTTATGTGATATGAACAATGGCTGTTTTAATTTAAGTAATTATGAGTATAGTTTTCTTTATAATACATGATAATATATGCCAGTTTTTATTTTATTTCTCTTTTTAAGAATGACTGATATTAATATTATTATAAGTGTTACCATCTTTATTAAAATCTTTGCCCAGGTCTGTTGAACAAGTATTTGAATTAATTATAAGAAATTAATATTATTATAAGTGTTACCATCTTTATTAAAATCTTTGCCCAGGTCTGTTGAACAAGTATTTGAATTAACTAACTTGGTTAAAAAAATTTTGAACTTAATGATGTCCAAATGTTTTGGTGAGATTATGAAACCATCATCAATAAATCAGTATATCTATAATAAAATTGTTGTATGTCATTGACTTTTTTTATATAGAAGTACTAAGGTAAAATTTTAGGAAAAAGTCTTGTTTTGTCTAAATACCCGATTGTGAGACAAGCATAATTTGGAACAAAGTTAGTAACCATGGCCATTATATATATATATATATATATATATATATATATATATATATATATATATATATATATATATATATATATATATATATATATATATATATATATATATATATATATATATATACATATAAAGAGAGAGAGAGAGAGAAAGAGAGAGAGAGGTGGAAAAACCCCTTTAAATAAGAAAAATACAGAAAAGCACAAACGTTTTATACAATTAATTTTTTTTTTTGATTATTTAAATTTCATGTTATATTTTGCTATACGAAGTTCTTATATCCAAAGATATTGTTGATTTAGCGTATGAACAGCCACATTTAGTCATAAAGACTAATTTGATAATTGAAGATTCAATTTTGACCCAAATCTTTTTTCGTTATGAACTATTAGAAAAGAATTAGGATTAAGCACTCAAGAATCTTATAGAGATTAAGGTCTTGACTGTTATTGTTGACAAATTAATTTATGTCCGCTTAGTAGAAAATGTTTATGTCAAATGTTATTTACATAAGCAATGTCATAATATATCAATAGGAAGAGGTTTTTTGCTATATTAGACACAGAAAAAAACATATTGGACTCACAAAAAATATTATAGAAAATTCTAGACTTCAATTTAAAGAAATCAATTTCTACAACAATTGTTGTATACAGATGTTTTACAACATTTATTCAACTGTTGAAGACCAAGCTTAAGTTAAAATACATACTGTACCGTGTCGGTAATATTAAAATACATACTGTACCGTGTCAGTAATATTAAATTACATACTGTACCGTGTCAGTAATATTAAAAAAAAAACAGTTAAAAAACTATTTAGATTTAGCCAATTTTTCAAATAAATAGAATTTCTAACGAAAAATGTTTATAAACCAGCCAATCAATATAAAGATAAATCTTTCAAAAGACTTAATACTAGCATAAGTTTTATACATTAAAATTAAGTTTTTAATATGGATCTGATTATTATTAATAAAGTAAAAAGAGCTATTAAAAAGTTCGGGCCTAGATTTATGCATATATGTATATGTATTTATGTAAATGTGCATATTCATAAGTAACCTGATTGCCTTAAATGACTTGCATTGTACAATGTCTTTATACGAAGTACAGAAGAAAAAAGATTTTTAAAAAACTCATATCAATTAGGATCTATGTTTTACATGATAATAGTTATTAAAACGACTAATTAAATAAAATTAAAGTATTAAAAAGAAAATACAACTGTTGAATATAGATTACTAGACCATCAATTTCGATTTCAATAAAAATTCTATTTATAAAATAAAACGGTAGCAACACGAAGCATAATATTTATTCATATAACTTTGACCATAATTCACATCATTAATTTGATTACTACATGCTTCAACCACCGTAAATAAACCAACTAAAGAAAGTTTTCTTTCTATTTCAAATTTATACATTTTAAATAATTCAAATAGTGTTCAGTATTAAACCAAACACAAAATATATTAGCGGTTCTCAGTGACAAGACTTTATTGTCTTCTTCGAGTTTCCGTGTTTTTAGTTCTTCATTCATTTTGTTTGCAATTTTTTTGTTTTTTATACTACTTCAAAATAATATAAAAAAAGGAATTAAATGCATAAAGAAATAAGAATACAGAAAGTTTACAAAAAGGTCATGTCACCAAGAAACGCTGAAAAATTTGATTTAATACTGAAATTTTTTTATTTGAATTATTTAAAAATGTATACACATACAGGACCGACGACACGGGTTTTGAAGTGGGAGGGGGGGTACAATCATCAATTTGTAAAAATGGTCCTCTATATCTTAAAAAAAATTTCTTAAAAATATCTTTTCTTGAAAAAAAAAAAAAGTTCCTCCAAAAAAAAAAAGGAGGGGGGCACGTGCCCCATGCCTCCCCCCTGGTGTTGTCGGCCCATATATATATATATATATATATATATATATATATATATTTATTTACATATATATGTATATCAATATAAATAAATAAGTATGTATTCATATTGTATAACACTGAATAATATTGAGTGAATTAATTCTCATAAATGATTTGTCCAATCAGCATAAACCACGAAAAATTGCAATTTTTCGTAAAAACTTTTTTGCTGAGTTAGCAGTTTTTAAACTTTTTAATTGGTCTACTTATTAACCAAAACAAAGTTACACTTTTTGCCATGTTTTGAACACCACAAGCATCTTTAAATGCATTACATGCTGTTGTATAAAAATTATATGTAAATTATTTTGGGAAAACTTTATTAATTAAGTTGTTAAGAAATATTTTAGTAATGTGGACCGAAAAATCAAGTTGTTATAGAATTTTTTCATGTCTCTCTGTCCTTTTTATGACTTTTGATACGAATGGTTTTAAAGGTAATACTCTAATAAGAAACTTCTATTTGTTCTACTTATTCATAAATTATTATAGGAAATGATTTTTTTACTTCATTTATACATTCATTTTACTATTCCTTGTAAAATATAAAGTGTTCTATATTTTAACTAAAATTATATTGAATACCATAATACATCTGAATACTAAACTGATTAGCAGTAAATTTTGTTATATTATTAGAAGTAGCTTTTATAAGTTAAAAATATAATGTCTTGTTTATGATTTTATTTATTATTAAATTTATTATGTTAAATTTTAATTTAACCATTTTTAAAAATATAATTACAATTATGTTTGTTTATTATTTAAGCATTATTTATTATCTATACATTTGTATTTATTTATTCTTTTATTCATTTTATTTTAACTTTTCCCCTAAAATATTGTGTCCATATTGTTTGTGCTTGTTAGTGATTTTAATACCATCTTTCTTATATTTAATATAAATTATCTTTATTGTGTTATAATTGCTTTTGGTTTCTTATGTAAATCCACTTTGCTTTATATCCACTCTCTAATTAAACTTACTCAATTTATCCATTATTCACTCAAGTTGTTTCAATAGCCTCTGTGTTTATGCATAATAAAACTCTACACATTATAAGATTCTGTTTATCATGTAAAAGAAATTAAAATGCCCTGAAATTTTCAATTAAAAAATGTAATAGATAAAAACATGGATTCATGTTAAGTACAACCAAATAGGTTCACTCACTTATAATCTCTTTGTTTAAGACTCCTCAGAGTTCTTCAACTATTTATCTAAAAACATTTTATTAATAATTGAGTTTTACTAATATTGAGTTTTTGTTAACATTATCATGCAAGAGTTCACTGATGACATCCTCAGATTCTCTTGAATCTCCAATTTATTCAAAAAATATTTTAAAAGAACTTAATATAATCTCTGACTTCAACATGGTATTACTTCTATAATACACAACCTGTGCAATGTTATCAGCATTTATAATATCATACTTATAGTGACTAAGCCCCACAAACGCCTGTTTTTGTTGATTAAATTATGAAACCCCAAAAAACAAGTTCACTTCAACTCCACTGCTTGAGGAACTAAGTGAAAAGCAGAATATGATCTTTTTAATAAGTGATTTTAATCAAAATCTACTACAATATAGTGAATCCTTTTTCTTATTACTTTAATATCTATGCTCTTACATTTTTAACCCATCTATACAAATTTATACCTACTTTAAAACTTTAACCAAATATCAAATCAACTCAAATCTAAGCCCCAGATCTCTAAAAGTTCACTTAAATCTATTTCCATGAAAAACAAACCCTACAAAAAATTTGCAAGATGTAAAAATATTAATATTAAAAATTAACTCTTCGCAAAATTTAAATTTTATAGTAATAAAATTAGCAGCTCATTAAAAATTGCATAACTTGTTTCTATAGCAACTTGAACAACATAAAAACTACTTGGAAAGATGTAAAAGAAATCATAAATATTAAAGCATCATCACATAATACATCTGCTCAGCTAAATCTGAAAGAAAATATTGTTTCAGACCATGCCGCTGTAGGGTGATAGCTCCACTCTAGGTAATAACTTGCCCTAGGTGATAACTTCCCCTCTAATTAACTCCACTCTAGATATATATATTCTCAATATTTTTATTTATCGGATATTTTTCATTTATTTCATAAGATCTAATATTCTTTTGTGCCTCAATACATGCACTATCACCTCTACTAAATACATGCTCTATCACTTCTACTAAATTGACAATCTTTTCTAAACAAATTATGACCTGGAATATTATTAGTTGACATTACTAACCATTAAGTTTTGCACAGAAATATAACTTGTTTAGATCTGGAAATATAATTGATGAACTCATCAAATTTATACTTAAGTAGTAGTATTAAATGTAGTAGTATGTTGTTTAAATCTTCATTCTTTTTAGTTAAATAACTTTTTATATTATATTTTTATATTATATAATGAATTTTTAGTTAAACTTTAGTTTTTTAGTTTTTTCTAATGTTTGTATTGTTTCATTCAAATCTGCTACAGCATTATCGATTTTTAATTCATACTCATTTTTAAGTTTCCTCTCCAGAGCATCTAAAGTGTCTTTTAACTGCTTTGCATTAATCATATTTCTGAATATTTAGACCAGATTAGTTTATTATAAAGATTATTATAGTTCTTTTAACTTTTCTTTGGATAAAAAAAATCTATCTTTATATTTAAATTAAAATATAAAATATAAACAGTTATTTGTTTATCGTTTGATTTGATTATGTTTTTTTTGTTTTTTTTTACAAAGAATTTTGAAAAAAAAAAAAAAAAATTTATGATATATATTTTTTTAAATAACATTAAATTTGTAAAGCGAATCAGAAACTTTAATAAATAGTGAAATAATTAAAGCAGCAAAATTAACAATTCCCAGAAGGTTTTCTATTTTAATTAATAATTAGCGACAATTCATAATTGCATCAATTCTCAATAAAAAAAGTTTTTTTTGGATAAAAATCTAATATCTCAAAATCACTCATTTAATTATAATTTACTCTATATTAGAAAAGTAAGTATTTATAAAGGGAGTATTGTCTGTCTGTTCTATTCTCTTTCTTTTAAATTTTTTAGTCAAAATTGAATATTATATTAAATTTGATTTTATTAGGTGTTGATGGTGATACGTCAGCAAGTGTTGATCACCATCTTGAAATGGGAAAAAAAATGTTAGCAGCTGGTCAATTAACAGAAGCTTTATCTCATTACCATTCAGCTATTGGTATAAAAATTTTATTTGTAATTGGTTTTTAGTTTTTTTAAGATAAGTTTTAATATACATCTTTTTGAAAAAATATTTTATGCTATGTCATAAAAATGAGACTAAAAAGTAATGGGTATTGTATATGTATATATTTTAAAATGTTAAAAAATAATACTTTTTTTTAGAGGGTGATCCAAAAAATTATATGACATACTTTAAGCGTGCAGCAGTTCTTTTGGCTTTGGGAAGATCAAAATCAGCCCTTCCTGATTTGGACAAAACACTTGAATTGAGAGCAGATTTTTTGAGTGTATATTTTATTTTATGATTTTTTTTAAAATTTAAATATGCATTCCTATTTATCTGAGTAGTTAAGTTTTTATATAAAAAAACTTTTTAAACTTTAGTGTTAGGTATACATATATATATATATATATATATATATATATATATATATATATATATATATATATATATATATATATATATATATGTATATATATAGATATATCTACTATAGCATAGATATTATATATATATATATATATATATATATATATATATATATATATATATATATATATATATATATATATACAGGGCCTATTCTAGGAAAAAAATTTGGAGAGCAGTACCTCCTCGTTTTGGCGGACTTTAGCAGAAAATCAGTGTTTTTTTCGCAAAAAAAAACAATATTTGCCGTAAAAACATAAAAAAGCGATAAAAAAAAGGTCCTCAAATTTTAATTTGGGTAGTGCCCAAATTGGAGTCCAAGTATGGTCAACGCTGTTAAAAACAGTCTAGAATAGCCCCTGATTGATATATATATATATATATATATATATATATATATATATATATATATATATATATATATATATATATATATATATTCTGTACTGGTGGTATCGGCACACACCATTCTCAATTAAGTCTTTGCATTGCTGCACTCTTTGTCACACAAAAAATGCTTTCATTTGTTGAGACATTTCGTGGCGCTCATCCAAGCCTGCTGATAAACATCCCACCCCTTCTGTGACCCATGGTTTTTGTTTTATTTGGTTGCATTATTGCAGTCTTTCTATGTGTATTCAAACACATTGAGCAATAGACTTTTAAAATTGCAATGCAAGTTAAATTACTTGTATAAAACACCATTTAATTTTATGCAATAAAAAGCATTAATTTGCTCTAATATAAATATCAGATGCTCAATATTCTTAAAGTAGATATTACTCTTTGCCTAATATTATAATATTCAATAAGTAAAAAAACCAAATATATTATGTCTGGAAACAGTTTCTTATGTGATTCAGTTTGTGCAGTGTGTTGGGTTTAAAAAAAACACTAAATCTAAGTCACTATCAGAAGTCACCACCTGAATACAAGATATGATCAAACTCTACATGTATGATGGTTATGATAAAATATGACTTTTCCAAATGTCATATGTGGTAATTGTAAACAAAATTTATACCTTATTAAAAGTAGCCATATTTCTAGTGAATTATGGGGAGTTCAAGTTGCCAAGGTATTTTATATACTAATACTTTATGTTTAAATCAAATTGTTTTGCACTAATACTACAGTAAAGTATAAATAACAAAGTGCCACACATATAGAACAAATTTAAGCCTTTTTAAACAACATTAAAATAATATATATTTAAACATAAAGTCTTTATTTTTAAATGTATAATATTTCAATGTTATGTAAAAAAATTTAAACTTTTTTTACATAACATTGAAGTATTATACATTTAAACATTATTATAAACTATAACAATTGTCCATTATATCTGCTTATTGGTGACAGTAAATACAACAAATGATTACATGCAATATATATTTAGATATATAACATAGCTGAAACAAATTGTTACAAAGTAAGCTGAAATGCTTCAGATTGATTGGGCCAACTAAAGGCGATCTTCAGATCCATGTTTGGGTATCAGTGTTCCAAAATTTACTGAACCGAAAGTGTCTGAAAATGTATGAAGCATTTGTTTTCTTGTTACTGGATGAGGCATTTGTCATCAGTGTACACTGCTGCTTTAGACAACTTTGATTGGCCACTGTTTGCAATTAGGAGAATATGCAGAACAAATAGCCAGTACTGTAATTAAAAAAAAGATGGAGAGCAAAGGTATAGAAAAATGGACAGTTTTTAAACTAAAAACACCAGAAACATCTATCTATCACCCATTAGATATGGTGACTGGATCCCAATTTAAAAAAGTAACAGATGTAGCAAACAACTTTCTCTTCAAACAGTCGTGGAATTACAAGTCTCCCTTGAACTTTCTGACAATGCAACAATAAAACTTCGCTCTCCATTTAGAACCGGATTAAATGAAAGAGACTCTGTGAAAGGAAATATAGTTCAAAAACTAGATTATCTTGAAGTACAACTTGATGAATTTTATAGTGTAGATGAAGTGGAGTTTGTTGTTTTTATAGTGTAGAGGAACTGGAGTTTGTTGTTTTTATAGTGTAGAGGAACTGGAGTTTGTTGTTTTTATAGTGTAGAGGAACTGGAGTTTGTTGTTTTTATAGTGTAGAGGAACTGGAGTTTGTTTCTAACCAGAATGAATAAAAATCATAAGAGGTTTAGTTTATATTAAAAATCCCTCTGATTTAATCCTGTATATTATTAAAGAAAGAGGTATAAATACATGTGTAGGTTTTGTAAGAGTTTCTTTAGATGGCGGAGGAGGCTTCCTAAAAATTGTTGGTAATGTTTTTAAGGAAAAAGAAGAATCTAAAAATAAATTTCAAAATAGCGGAGTTCAAAAAGTTTTTATTTTAGCCATTGTTGAAGGTATTACTGAAAAAAAGGAAAACCTTAGATTAGTGCTTAAGAAACTTAATCTTGAAAATTTAAACCATTGTTTTGCTTTTGATCTTAAATGTGCTAATGTTAAATAAATAATTATTTGGTCTTTCATCACACGCAGGCAAAAAGCTTGCTTGTGGTGTAGTTGCAAATGTACACTTGATATTGGAACTCTTAGAACTATTGGCCATCTTGATTTTTGTTATGAAGCATATGTTAAAAATAGATCCATTAACCACCACCATACATCAAAAATAGATCCATTTTCCATTAAAGGAATTTGATAATATTGTGAATAAACGCCTAGTATATCTGAACATGGATAAAAATACTTTGCTAGAAAATTTAGTTTCTTTGCCTGAGCTACATTTTTATTGAAGCAGTGGCTAAGGTAGCAGGGTTTCTTTTAACTGAGTGGGATGGTTTTAAGCTGTGGTTAAAAAAACACAAAATTGAAACAAAATTGAAAAAAACACAAAATTGAAAAAGGACATCATGGAGTTAGATGGAATGGTAAAAATGCAAATAAAATTTTAAAATTACTTGATTCACTTCAACTTGAAGTGCAACTTAAAGTACCATATCTACTTCCTGTAGTCCGAAGCTTAAGAACTTTTAAATCTGTAAAAAAGCTTGTTTTGGAAAAAATCTCTATTCTGACACAAAATAACATTGTTTAAAGATGCTTTTCTACACCTACAAGAAACAGCTTCTTTGCTTGGATAGCAAAGAAGCTGTTTCTTGTAGGTGTAGAAAAGCATCTTTAAACAATGTTAATAGACATTAACAGTTACATGGAAAATCAATATTATATGTTGCCATGTTTTTACATTTGTAAAGCATTCAGGATGCGGCTTGTCAAAGTGTGCAGAAAAGTGTGGTGAAGCGATTCATGCAAAGTTTAACCCTACATGGCAACGATATAAATGCAGCATAGATCATAAAGATTATGGAGATTGAAAAGATTATGGAGATTGAAAAGATTATGGAGATTGAAAAGATTATGGAGATTGAAAAGATTATGGAGATTGAAAAGATTATGGAGATTGAAAAGATTATGGAGATTGAAAAGATTATGGAGATTGAAAAGATTATGGAGATTAAAAAAATTATGGAGATTGCTGTTATTGATTTTGGAATTAAAGATTATAATACTTAGTTTTATATTGAAATTATATTTAGTAAAAATGTTATATTTCACTATATTGTTAAATAAAGTTGTTATATAAAAAATCGTGAGATTGGAGCAAACTTTTTTTCAAGGGGATAAATAGAACCCAAAATTTTTGACCACACAGGCCCACCTTAGTTAAATGAAGAAAAAAAAATTACTAATTAATAGTTTTCAAATTTCATTAAAAAATACTTTGATATCCAGGAGCTGTGGCTATGTAAAATTAACAACCTCCTCATTTTTTTAATTCGAGGAGTGGGTTTTTACTCATAGCAAATGAAACTAATTTTAAATATGATTAAACCATGTTAGTTTAATGAAAGCAATACTTTATCAGTAAAAAAAATTCCCAGGCGACACTTCATCAAGCCTAATAAGCTCTCTGGTCCACAGTGACTATCAACAAGCTTCATTTTTTCAATTAAAAGTTTTTCCTTAAATGTGTTTTTTATATTTAAGTCTATTTTTGATAAATGGTTTTTGTAAAATCAAGACAATTGATTTAAAGGATTTTGATTTGATTTTGATTTTATTTCCAGATTAAAAGTATATATATTTTAAATATATATAAATATATATAAATATATATTTTTTATTTATAAATCTTAAGGCTCGCTTACAAAGAGCAAGCATTCTATTGAAACATGGAAAGTTTGAAGAAGCTAAAGCTGACTATCTTCATGTGGTAAGTAAATTTTTTACTAAAAAAGGCTGAAAAACTCAAGTTTCAAAAATATCTTGTATAAATGAAGGTATCTTTAGAGTTGTTTGTTTAATTTTTCCTGATTATCACTTTTACTATTCATTCTTATGAGCATATATAATTAGCAAATATTTAATAAGTTTAGTATGGTAAAAAAAAAAAAAAAACAAGTTATATTGGCAGAAGTTCCTGTTTTACTTACTTACTATTAAAACTAATGTATCATCTAGAGTATATTAGAGTATAATGAAAATAAGTCCACTACTACCATTAAGAATTTGTTGCAGAAAAGTTTTGGATATTGTAGCTGCAGCTACAATATCCAAATGCTATATAATTATTTTAAAAATTAAAATTTATTAAAATGGCTTTTTTTTTAGAGTAGACAAGATTCTTCTAATGCAGAGGCTACTCAGGGTGTAAGTTTTAAATTTTACTGCTCAATTTTTTTTTACTTAGGGTGTAAGTCTCAAATTTTACACTATGTTTAAGTATATGGTGGTTTAATTAATTTTTTTGATTGATAATTTTTAAAATATCACATTAACTTGACAGCTATCTATTATTGGTCCAGTTCATGAAAAAGTAAAGACGGCAGAGGAAATGTTTGAACACCACCATTGGTATATGGTTATAAGTCATCTCGAAAATCCTATTGAGGTATTTTTTAATTATTGCAAATAAATAAACAAAAAAAAAGAAAAATACTTTTTTTTTAGAAAATTGTTGACTGAGTATGTTACTAAGGATACACATAAAAATTAAAGTAGTTAATACATTTTATAGAAAATAATTATTTAAACTTTTTTTTCATTTGCTTTGCTTTCATTTAATTAGTATTTACAAGAAAAAAAAATATTTTTTTGATTTAGGTATGCCCTTGGGATGTTCATTTAAGAGAAATGCGAGCGAAAAGTTATGAACAAATAGGAGATTACTTAAAAGCTATTCAAGATTATCGGTATGTTTCTTTTTTTAATAAAATTTAAAATTTTTTTTTTACTTATTCCTTTAAATCCTTTTTACTCTACTTTCTCCTATTTTTTTTTAACCATTAACTATGTTTCCTTTTTTATTATTGTTTTTAATAAGTTTAAATGACATTTTTGACAACTTGTAGCAAATTTTTACATAGTTTTATTTAGATAAAGTAAAAAATTTTTAAACCAAATAAGTTTCATGATGTTGTTACATGGAAGCAAAAGTTATTAACATTTTGCTCTATATGTAAATGGTTTATTATTTTGTTTTACATTTCTTGCAAACAAGCCATAAGTTTTGGTCATGCATTAATCAGAATATGAAATTATTTATATATCATATATTTTTATGATGTTATATAAATTATATAATGTTATAACAATAAATATTATAGGTTTATTAAAAAAAAGCATATATTTTAAAAGAATAACATTTAAATAAAAAACACAAAATTTTTTTGCAAACAAATATGTTCGTAATGAGAGTATTTTTTAACTACACATGAACATTTAAAATTAAAATATATTTTCAAATAGTTTTAATTATTATATAATTTACTATATTTAAGCATAAGTTTTTGTTATTTAAACATTCTTTTAAGTTGTATGTTAATTGTTATCTTGCTCTATAAACTTCATCTTTTCTCTTCCAGTATTTTCCAACTCTAATAGTGGTTGCTTGTAGTCTTGTCAGAAGTGAAAATGCCAAAAAAACCAAAACAAAACAAAAAAATGAAAATATAATTATATACATTTTATTAATACATTTATATTTAATTTATAGAAATTATATAAATAATAAATTTAATCTATTAGATAGATAAAATCTCCTTAAGCATTTTTTTTCTTTATGTTTAAAATCCATGTTTTCTTTATGTTTAACATCCATGTTTTCTTTGTTTAACATCCATGTTTTCAAAACTTAGGTAGTTTCCATAATGCTATTTTCTTATTTAAATGTCATTATGGAAGAGTTATAGATGTAATGAAACCTGGTTCTGAGTTACAGCATTATGGAAGAGTTATAGATATTATAGAATTTGGTTTGCAGTTTGGCTTGATTAGACATTTGTTTAAAAAAGACTATAATGTTTTCTTTAAAGTTTTGATTAGAAGAATTTAATGAAAGTCGTGATTTAATAATTTAACAATAAGACATTCAAAATTTTTAACAAAAAAAATTCTTTATTATTCAGAATTACAACAAAATTAAAAAGTGATGATACAGAAGGCCATCTGAAAGTTGCAGAACTCTATTACATACTCGGGGAAGGCGAAGATTCTTTAAAGTAATTATTTAATACTTTGTATTATTTTTTTTAATAAGTTTACTCATCATACACACAATATTTACTTAGTAAATATTTTTTGTTATAATAAATATTGTTTTTTATAATGTAAATATTTTTTTCGTAATATAAATATTATTTAATCATGATACAAACAATATTTACTTTGTAAATATTGCTTGTATTGTTAATAAATGAATCTGTGAATGTTAAAAGGGCGGAAGTCCAATTATAAAAACTTTCATGTAACTAAAAAAAATTGCATTGTCCCCATAGTAAATTTTTTTAATGGTTTAATAATTTTGTTTTTGAAGAGAATAATGTTTTTCACCTTCAAAAAAAATATTACTGAACCATTAATATAAATTTACTACCATGGAAAATGCAGTTTATTTTAGTTTCCCAAAAGTTTTCATTATTGGACTTCTGCCCTTTTAACATTCACCGATTCAAATTTTGTAATGTTATAATATTTGTTATATTATTTTTGAAATATAAATTTACATAAGTTTTGTTTTTCAGAGAAAGCAGAGAATGTCTTAAACTTGACCAAGACCACAAAAAATGTCACCAGCATTATAAGGTTGTTATAATTATATTTTGATAATTATAACAGATAATTAAATAAAATGATTATCAATATTAGCTATATTGAAATCTAAGTTTTTCTTGTTTGTAAACAAATGTTGTCAATAGGTTAGTAATGATACATCAAATTTTTATTTTCAGAAAGTTAAAAAACTAGTCAAGTTCTTTCAAGACGCCCAAAAATATATGGATGAAGGAAAGTAAGATTTTTTTTTCATAAACTTACTATTGTTATATTATTATTCAAAACAAAAAGTCAAAACTAAAAGTTGATTGCTCAGCATTCTTCAGCCTTTAAAATACATAGTCTGTCTAAGTTTATAAGTAAACTACTGGTAGAGCGATTAGGAAATTTGATACAATTCATCATTTATTTATATTGTTGCTATAGAAAAATTATTAATAAAACAATTTTTATATATCATCTTGTGTTCATATAAAAAATACTGCTTATGTCTTAATAGCTCTATTGTGTAAGAAAAAATAGTTAATAAATAATAAAAAATAACTATATAAAAAATTATGATTTGTTTCAAATTGATAAAAAAAACATTGTTTTTTAGTTATGACGACGCATTGTTAAAGTTAAATGCAGCCCTTAAAATGGAGAGCTCAAATAATAAGTTTGTTGTTAGTGCCAAAGAAAAAATGTGCCATTCATATGTTAAGGTTGAAATATTTTTAATTTTTTCTTTAATTTTAAAAATTTAAACAATCCTATGAACCATAAAAGTTTGTAGGAATTTAAAATTATGTATTGTAGTTTAAAAGACTTTTTTATGTTTTTCTTTGGTTTTATATAATTGATTTTTTATTATTTTTTTAAATTATCATTGGAAAAAATTCCTTTAAAAAATTTACATTTTCATATACTTTAACATTTATATCTAACGTTAATTGAAATCTCAGGTTAATTGAAATCTCATGTTAATTGAAATCTTGCATCAAATCTCACATTAATTGAAATCTCACATTGTATCTCATGTTAATTAAAATCTCACAATTTATGTCACATTTTATCTATGAAATTTAAGTAAATGACTTATAAAACAATTTTTAAGAATAGTTTTAAAAGTTTAAAACATACATTAATTTTAAATTTGTTTGTTTAAATTAGATTAAAAACTCAAAGGAAGCTTTTCGAGTTTGCACTGAAACATTAGAAATTGAACCACAGAATGCTAATGCAATGTGTGACAGAGCAGAAGCTTATTTATTAGAGGACAAACTTGATGAGGGTAATTAATTTAGTATATATATATATATATATATATATATATATATATATATATATATATATATATATATATATATATATATATATATATATATATATATATATATATATATGTATATATATACATATATATATATATATATATATATATATATATATATATATATATATATATATACATATATATATATATATATATATATATATATATATATATATATATATATATATATATATATATATATATATAAATATTTGTATATATATATATATATAAATATATATATATATATATATATATATATATATATATATATATATATATATATATATATATAGTTTTTTTTTTCATTTGAATTCACCTTCCCAAGTATGAGAAAGTCAAAATTGTCAATTGAGGAGGCTACTTTAGTTGTGGTTACAACTCTCTCTCAACTCTATAACTCCAAAAAACAAGCCTTGACAAAGGCCACTGCGCAGAGAAACAAGTTGAGCGTGATACTACCATGGGTGTGGTGGGGATCAAACTCAGAACTTCATGATTATTAGGCAAGCGCTCTACCACTACACCACTACCGCAAAAGTTACAAGTAAAAATAGCTATAAATAAGTTTAAACAATAGATATCTACATATTTGTGTAATAATAGCTATATATTTAAATTATTTGTTGCATAAGTTATGTCAAATTGTTTATATTAGAATTTTGGCTTTTGCCTTAATTAATTTCCCATCTGCTGTCTTGGTATAGAACTGAAGTCAGTTGCTTCAGCTTTATACCTACACCATTGGTGCATAAGTGTTAAAAATTTCACATATTACAGTAAGTTAGTAACAAGTAATTTGTTTATATTACATTGCCAAGGATATTAGGATTATATTTTAAGTTTTGAATATTTTATGAGTCTGTTTAAATAAAATTAATCAAGCAGTGCTGGAGTGGCATCGTTATTTGTGCCATTTGCATTTCAATTTACTCAAAGAATGTTGAAGAATGTCATGCATGTGATTTTAATGAAACAACAAACATGACATCAGAATGACAGCATGACATCATGACAACAAACATGACATCAGAGGGACAATAACTATTCTCTAAAGCTTTGGATTCTATATAATACACAATATAAGTTATTTAACCAACTTTTTTTTTTACCATTTTTATATTATTTTTACAATTTATAGTATATGAAAATATTTTTGATATTTTTTAGCCTTAAAAGATTTTCAAAGTGCAAAAGAAATTAACAATGATCTAAATAGAGTAAGCAATTTTATGAAGTTTTATAAATATACTAATAATAAATTATTATCAAATTATTATATAAATATACTAATAATCATGATCATAAATAATCTCAGTTCAAGCATGATCATAAATAATCTCAGTTCAAGCATGAGATCATAAATTATCTCAGTTCAAGCATGATCATAAATAATCTCAGTTCAAGCATGTTCATAAATAATCTCAGTTCAAGCATGAGATCATAAATTATCTCAGTTCAAGCATGATCATAAATAATCTCAGTTCAAGCATGAGATCATAAATTATCTCAGTTCAAGCATGATCATAAATAATCTCAGTTCAAGCATGATCATAAATAATCTCAGTTCAAGCATGAGATCATAAATTATCTCAGTTCAAGCATGATCATAAATAATCTCAGTTCAAGCATGATCATAAATAATCTCAGTTCAAGCATGAGATCATAAATTATCTCAGTTCAAGCATGATCATAAATAATCTCAGTTCAAGCATGATCATAAATAATCTCAGTTCAAGCATGAGATCATAAATAATCTCAGTTCAAGCAGTTATGAGTGATAAAAATGATGGTGTAGTTTTCATCTTATTTTATTTTATTTAAAATGTTGGTATATATATATTGTCTAAATAACTTATTTATTTTTATATTAATTATTTATAATTTATATTAATTTTTTTCTAATTTGTTTAATTATTAAATTATGTTTTACATAAAACATAGCCATAAAAAAATTGATTTAACATTGGGTTCTTTAAATTCTTTAAACAAAAAATGATACTTAAAAGTAAATTTTTAAAATATAAACAAAGCTTAGTTTTGTCACAAAAAAATGAACAAATATTTTCCTGAAAGATTATTAATATTGTGTATTGATGTCAAATAAACAAATCAACCATAAAAGAATTTTAAACCATAAAAGAATTTTGCGCATTTACTTAAATAGATAACTAATAGATCATTATCTAGATTAATTTCTAAATTAGCTAAAGTCAGTCAACTGTTTCTTGAGTTCTTAAATGCTACAAGGAATCAATCCATCAATTACAGGTCAGGATCTTGAAGAAAAAAGGGGTTTGAAAATAAAATGTTAGCCTTGGAAATTGTTTGTTCATACATTTATATCTGACTATGAAAGAGCAAATAAGTACAATGCTTTTTTTTCTTTTGTGCAAAAAGTCAAGAATTTTTGCGGTATTCACTCTTATGCCTAGATAATATCTAACACAAAAGATATCCAAAGCGTACCAAAAAGCAGCAAAAATGTATCAAAATGCAAGCAAGAAAACTGTGCAATAACATTCTGACAAAGTTTGATAGCTTCTTAATTCTTCATGATGAATCTTATGTCAAATTTTATTTATGCTGGCATTGAGCATAGAACTGTCAGGAATATATATAAATATCAATGATGCGAAGTTCCATCATTTTTTTGGGACTCTGAGCTCAAAAATTATGGACTCCGGACTCCAGAATAATTTTTTTCTTTATTTAAGTATGGGGTTTTTATTATTTGGAACCTTTATGGCAAAATTCCGAAAAAATGAGAGGTACCAATAATATTTTCTCTTATGAATTATATATATGTTTATTTTAGGTACCCTAAGAAATCCTTACACTCTTATAATAGAGCACCTTGGAAAAGCAATTAACAGGAAATTCACTCCTCCTAACCAATGTCACAAAACCAATAGAGGGTTTGAACCACAGATTCCATTATTTTGTAGGAAAGTGCGCTACCACTGCGCCACGGCTGCTTAAATCCAAAAGTTAATTTGTCCCGCTTTTGCTGGATAGTAAGAATTAATAAGAACAATATAACTCTAAAGATTTTTATTTGATTTGTCACACATTTTTGTCATGTCACAGATTTTTCTGATGTCGCACTCAATTTCTCTTATTATTTGAAACCACATGATCATAAAATTATAAAATGTAAAGTAAGTGTAAAGTATTTTCTTTTTGTTATATATGCTTTGCAAAATTAATTATTTGTAAAAGAACCCATGAAAAACTAGTTAGGAAAGCTGTTAGATTGACTAGTTATGAATCGATGACATTAGTAGTTTTTCCATTAAAAGAATTGTTGTGCAAAATAATTTGTATTTATTTGTTGAGGTATTTTTATAAGCTTTTTTTGGCTTCTTTCTGACCTAGATGATATTACTTCTAGATGACCTAGATGATATGACAATTTTCAATTGTCTAGATTGTTAGCTTGACTTCATAGCTCAAACTCACAGACAAACTTGATTTTTTTATTGCATATAATTAATTTGTTAGTGAAATTTGATAGCTTTTCGTATTTAAATCATATCATTTTCATTGTGATTTTTCTCTAGGCGTTATTAAAATAAAAAAATTCTCATTTTCTTAACGAAAAATAACGAAAAAACTTATGCATAAAAACATTAACACTAAAATATTTCTAAATTTGGTAAATATTCAAAAAAAATCAAACAACTAAATTCTCAAACATATCATCATCTGCAGGTCTAGCCAGCAGCGATTTTATGAATAAAATGAGGAGGATGAATCCTTCAAAAGTGACAAATGTCTTATAAAAAATATTTAAGTGTAAGTTTAATGCTAACTTCCTCTCTTTTTAGGGGAGGGGGGAACAACCCCTTTCTCATACAACCCGTGAAATCGTCCCTGAGTATCGAACTTGATGATGAGGAAATACTTTAATAAACAGTTAATCACAAATACTTTCTTAATAGGATAAAATAATAAATTAAATGTTTTAAAAAATAAATAAACAAAAATCATTACATATAAAATCAACATTATTTCCAAATAGTAGTTTATAAACTTAAGAAATATAAAACTTAACATTTATTATGATGAAAGTTTTAAACTTAAAACACTTTATTTTTTTAAATCTAATTTTAGCAAATAAAAAATTTGTTAAACAAACTGTTTCTTTAACAAAAAATATATTAGATCACAATTGCGGTTAAATGCTTTTACTTACAACATATTTTCTGAATAAACATCTCATAAACGTTATCAAAATATCATTTAAATATTCTAAAGAATAAAAGTTTTTACTTAACGTAAAACTGCTGAACGCGTAGGCATATGGCCTTTTTGCATGTAAAATGCGAGCTTGGTAACACCTCTTAACAAGGCGTAACATTCGAACAGATTCTCAATCTGACCAAATGAACGAAAATTGTAAGGAAGGAGTTGAGCTTTCCGGTCAAATGCTTTTCTACAGTGTTTTGTGACACATTAATATCTATTTAAAAAAAAAAGGAGTCCCAGAATCCTAAAATTTTTATGGTCTCCCAAGACTCCGGACTCTGGGCTAAAATACGGATTCCATGGACTCCGACTCTGGACTCAGCATCCCTGATAAATATACAAAGCTGGAAAGTTTGTCAGAAAATGTATGATTTGACGAGCAATTTGTGGCAAAAATTGCAAATCATTTGTAACTTGAAATAAATGCAAAACTCTACAAGGGGGAGTGTTAAAAGCATCTTCTACCTTTTATAAAATCTGATAATGTTTGTTTACAGTTTTGGAATTTTTTTGAGGCTATGTTTTATATGTATATATATATATATATATATATATATATATATATATATATATATATATATATATATATATATATATATATATATATATATATATATATATATATATATATATATATATATATAATACAAATGTAGAAAAATAACTTTGGAAAGATAAAATTTGAAATTTACTTTATATTGCTTTGTTTTGAACTTCATTGTTCCATGCTAATGTGTTTATGTTAACCATTGTGAACAAATGGTCTTTTCTCAGAGCAATTATTAACTTTATTATTTTTTTTTTGTTTTTTTTTAATTTTGTATTGTTTTATGTAGCAAAAATTAAGTTTTTTTTTTTTTTTTGTTAAGGCAAAAGAAGGAATAGATAGAGTAAACAAACTTATTAAACAATCTAAAAAAAGAGATTACTACAAAATATTAGGCGTTAGCAGGTATTTGTATTTCTAAAATTGTTAATCTTATCTTTTATAATTATTTTTATTGATATTATTTTTAAATGAATGTAAATACAATTTTTATTTACTACTATTATTGTGATTAATAACAAATATTAATTAATAGTTAATTTATTAGGTTATTTAACTATTATATAAATCTTTATTAATAGTTAATATTTATTATTAATATACATTATATACTATGTGTATATATATATTACTATATATATATACACATAGTAATATATATACATAGTAATGCCATGTATGTATATGAGTGTATCAAAAAATGAATTTAAAATTGCAGTAGAGTGAAAAATTTTCAAAATGGTATTAATAGTAATTGTGCCAAATTTTTATTTTTATTTTGATGTCTTTAGTAGGCCACAGGAGGTTGTTTTTTTTATAAAAAAATATTTCTGCACTTTTTTACAAAATAAAAATAACAAATTCTTTGCATATACTAGATTTGTAATGTCTTTAGTTGCTGCTAGAGGGCTGGGTTGGAGGTCTGGGTTTTTATGAAAAAATAAATGTAGCATAAATATCAGATTCCAATTTTTATTTAAAATAAATTAATTTTAATTGTTATTGAACCTGTTGCTTCATCTCACATTAAATAAAAAAAAGTTGGAATAAAAGTTTGCTTTTAGCTCATTCCGGTTCTGGCTGAAAATATTTCTGACCTAGATGATAATATAAGACCTAGATGCTGGAATGCCAGAATTTATTTTTTACCTTTATTTTTTAAGACATGACACAGTTAATGACTGTGTTAATTAAATCAAAAAATCATTGTCCTACAGGGCAATGAAGAATTATAGGTAAACCTAGGTAAAAAATACAAATTTCTAAGCGAACACAATGTAATTTTATTTAGAATAATCAATTATGTAAGGTTTGGGCAACAAATTGTTTTTTTTTTCATCGAAAATGTTACCTGCCTCTGAGAATAGTCTCATTTTAAATATTCTTAAGTTTTGAATAGTTAAAAAATATAGGATGCCTATTACAGTAAATATTTCAATTTTAACCTAAATAGAAAAATAAAAAATAAATTATTTTAAATATAAATATTATGCAGGTTGAAACTTTCAATACATAAAATTATAAAAATAGCACTATATTTAAATGAAACAAGAATCAACTTAATGATATAGGTTATATATACTATAGGTTATAAGTATATACTATGAAGCCGCAATGGTGAGGTACAGGTTTTCACTTATATCTTAAGTCTTTACCATAAGATTAAGGTGAAAGTCTGCACCTTTTTTATCTTGAAATTGAAGTGTATGCTTTTACTTGAAACTTAAGGTAAAAAATAACATCAATATAATTATCATTCCGGCCAATTTATTGACAATTCCAGTAAATCTGGTTCTGGCCGGAATTTAAAATTTCCATTCCAATACACCCCTAATAAAAGTGTTATATACCAAACATTCTGTGACCAATTGTTACAGCAGTGATTATTAACATTACATTATGTAAGTTATTAACAGGTCTGAATAAGTGTTAACAGGTCTAAATGAGTTATTTATTTAAAGTTAACTATTTATTATTTATTTATTTAAATGGAACTATAATTAAATAATAGTTGTAATTTTTTTTTTACATTTTTTAAACATTTTTTTAATGAATTTGTTACCAGATACATCACTTCCAGTATTATTTACCAAAACTTTTAGCAGTATTATTTGCCAAAACCTTTAGCAATATTATTTACCAAAATTTTCAGCAATATTATTTATCTTTAAAACTCTCTTTAATTATTACAGGCATTGAGGCTCAATCAATATCATTAAGCAACTTTTAGAATTCAAGTTTTTGTTCTATATCTTCACATACTGACTCTGATGATACTATTTACTTTGGAATACTGGCTTAGACTTAGGCTCAGATGCTAATTATTTAGATACAGCTGAAGACCGCAAACAAAAAAGGAATAAAAAAGATAAAACTGATCAAAATTCATTGTTGCTTTCTTTAGCACAGGCCTGTTCCAGAGTAAGTGTTTGAAACAGAGTTGATACATTTACGGCATATTTAGTGATGGAAGATGTAAACAGAATTTCAAAAGAAGACCATAGATTCATAGAAAATGAAAGAAAAACAGACTTCAAATGCAATATTTAGACCACACAAATATACTAATGTTAGAAGGTTTGTATTTTGATGAAAGAAAAGATACATCATTAGTTATTGATACTAACAAAGAGAAAAATATACAAAAAACTACTAAAGAACATGTAGTTTTAGTACATAAACCAGGATCAAAATATCTGGTGCATGTAGTGACTGCATCAGGACGTGGACACAGCATTAAGACAAGTATAAGCGCATTCAAAACAACATTGATATATCCAAATTAATTGCCATTGGTTGTGACGAAACTGTTGTCAATTCCGAATTTCTGTTTGGTTCTTTATTAAAATTAAAACTAAAAAGACCTGTCTCTTAAGTTATCTGTCAAATACATGCTAATAAACTACCTCTCTGGCATCTAATTCAAAAACTCAATGGACCTTCGTCAGGACCTAATGATTCGTCTGAACCAATCAGAAAAAAAATTAAATTTTAGGATAACTTGTTAATAGTTAATAAGGTTCTTGTCAGTGTCACATTGGCAAAAAAAATCTCTTTTGACCAAAAAAATCTCTTAGTATTGACCAAAAAAAATCTCTTAGATTTGACCAAAAAAAATCTCTTAGTTTTTACCAAAAAATACATTTTTGATATTTTAACAGCATTATCTAAAGGTTATTGTCCATCCAGTTTGCCTAATTGAAATCCTGGAAAACATAATTATGCCATGTGGGTCATCGGAATATTTATGTTGGTTGTAGCAAGCCATAACACAAGCTGAAAGATATAGTTGAGTTCGTTATTGAGGTTTACTGCCAAATATGGTTTAATATAAGATGTAATCCATCATGCACCACATGACATTTGTGTTATTTTTATTTTTATAGATATTAATTTGTATAAGTATGCTAGTTGTGACATAACAACTATTATTGATCCAACATGCTTTTTGTTATGATATTATATACTTGCTCACATGTAAGGGTATTGGCGTTACAATAAATATTGAAAGGAAGGTCTAAGAAAAAAACAAAGTTCTAAGGTTCTCCATTCATATGTGCAACATTTACCATAATCATGTTGCAATAATCAAGTATATTTATCATAATAAATTATTTTATCATAGTTAAATAGTATAATTATCATAATTAAATAGATGAATCAAATTTTTAAACGAGACTTCAGATCAAGTTTTGCGGTTAGGCTAGTAGAGATTTTTATTCAACACAAAAAGACAGTTTCAGACGAAGACAAATGAATCAGATAATTAAACCTATAGCTAGTTTAAACATAGAGTAACTTTTTCACTCATATTAAAACATTGATTGTATCAGCGCTCGAAATAACGGTCGATCAACGATCAATGATCGGCTATTTTTAGGTAAATTTCGAAAAATTCAAGGGAAAATAACCTGTTTTTGTTAAAAAATTACATTTGATCGGGAAGCTTTGAAAAACTATTTGGAGCGCTGTTGTATATTATGGAGTGCGGAGCTTGTTTGGCAAGAACTCATGAAACAGTATTTTTTCGAGAAAAAAAAGCAGCCATCAAGCCGAAACTATAGACATTAAAATTTTTCATTAAAAAGTAGTAAATATTTCTAACTTTGTAAGATTTATTGTGTAATATTTAAACTCTATTTCATATCTAGTATATACATAGAATTTGTTATTTTTATTTTGTAACAAATGGCAGAAAACCTGTTTTATAAACCAACCCCCGGCGCCAACAAGTTATCAAAAGTTTTGAAAAAGATTCGGCACAATTACTATTTATGCAACTTTTCCCCTTCATTACAATCGGAAATTCAAAATGAATATTGTTTTTCGATACATCCTAATTTATATTATTATTATGCATTATAAAATGTTGTTTAATAGACTTTTTTATATCCTAAAGATATTTAAGTGTTTACTATTTGAGTTATCTGTATAATGCGTTTTCTTCCAAATACAGATCCGCAAGTAAAGCAGAAATTCTTAGAAAATTCCGAAAATTAGCATCTAAGTGGCATCCAGATAAATATGACGGTCCTGACAAAGAAAAAGCATCAAAAAAATTTATTGACTTGGCTCATGCTAAAGAAGTGTTATCTGATCCAGGTTTTATTTTATTTAATATACTAGTTTGTTTCATTTTGATATTACGAATTTTACTTCATAAATGTGCCAGTACAGAAATTAAAAAGTGCTAATTTTTATTTGTTTAGAGAAACGTGCAAAGTATGACCAAGGTGAGGATCCTTTAGATCCTGAAGCTCAACAAGGTGGTGGGCATAATCCTTTTAGCGGATTTCATAACGGATTCGGTGAAGGCTTTAATTTTAAATTTCACTTTAACTAAATGGTGCGTCCTCATGGTCTGTTGGAGAAAAGCTATTTCAATTTCGTACACAGAGTACCTTCTACTCCTAGTAGAAAGAAGAAAGCTTTTATTGCTAAAAAAAACATTCGAGGTCATACATACTTCAATATATTTAACAATGTTTAAAACCATATATATAGATAGAAAAATAAATTGTTTGCTATTACATTTTTATTTCATGTTTTTTTTTTGTACTACATAATCTAATATCCAATCACGTGATCATATTAGATCATGGATCCAACATGATCACGAATCAACAACATGAATATTCGAAGTAATATGTGTAGTATAAATTGATAATATCAAAATAGTTTACGCTTTTGGTAAAAATAGTTCGACGCGATAAATGACATAATTTATTTTAACGCGTTATGTGGTATAAATTAGTTGAACGTTTTAACTATTTTACAAAACCTCCTGGGGTAACTTGCAACATTAATTAATTATAATTTTTACACTCCTTTGTCTTTTAATTATAGTTTTTACTCCTCTTTGTGAACATTTAAAAAATCAGAAGCAAAACATTTTTTTGCTCTGCGATCCTAATTAAATTATTCAAATCAGCAACTCTTCCATCCCTCTCCACCTTTTTTACACATGCACCTCTTTCATTCTAAATCATTTATAAGTTGTATTTAACAAAGAATTTAAACTCTTTGATAAATAAATTTAGGGTGATCCCATTATCAATGTATTAAGGTTTTTACACAGTTCATTTGAAATTTTAAGTAAATAAAAAAAATACTTTTAAGCAGGGCTGTGGAGTTGGAGTAGCGGAGTTGCGACATTTTTAGCGGAGTCGGGGTTGCCAAACTAAATTGCGACTCCGACTTCAATAGTAAAACGGTATTGCGCATGCATATACAAAACATTCAATTAACCTTATGTTCATACTAAACCTCAAAGAACGTTTCATAAATTTGGCAAAAAAAAAATTTAACTTATCGCGTAATATTTTTTAAAGAACTCAAAGAATTATTCAAAAATTTTGCTTTGAAGTTGGTGTCGGAGTTGTACTCAAAAAATTTCAACAACTGGGTTCGGAGTCGTTACTTTTTTTTACGACTCCACACCCCTGCTTTTAAGTTTTGCATAACTTTAGAATACGAAGTTCATAGTAAAAACCTAAAACAAAGTTCAAGTAAAACTTCTTGCTTTTTTTTTTTTTTTTTTAATATTTTAGTTTACATTTGTTAGTTCATTTTTACAATATAATGAGAGTAAATAAAAAATTAATACAAATTATAAAGTAAGCAAATACTACTAACCTTATACTAGTATAAACAAAATATTATATTATAAAGTAACTATAAGTACAACAAAATAAAAATAAAATATACATACATATATCACTTTGTAGTATATATAATAAAGTTTAATAAATATTTCCATAATATAAATATTGTCAAATTTTGATAATACGGGAGAGAAAAAGATTTTTCAGCTTAACTTTAAAAAGATGCAAAGAAGTAGGTAGATCAAAATTAAAATTAGGCAAAATAATTTTGTTCCAAAGCTTTATAAAGAATTCCAATATTTTTTGAAACTTTAGTACCAACATAATCAATATGTTGCTTCCATGTGATGTTCTCATCAAGGAATACGCCTAAAAATTTTGTGGTGCAATCTCTTTTTATTTCAATATGGTCAATAAAAATATCAGGTAGAGTTGGGGGTAATTAACGTTTTTTAGTTATCGAATGAAAAAGAATCCATTTTGTTTTTTTAATATTTAGGGTAAGTTTATTGCATTTGAACCAGCTAGAAATTATTTTGAGTTCTTCATTCATAGTAGTGAAGAATTGATTATCAGATAAAAATAAATTAGTATCATCCGCAAACATAGTACTTAAAAGATTAGAAGCTTTATGCAAGTCATTAATGTATATTAAAAAAAGAAGTGGCCCTAAAATTGATCCTTGCGGAACACCACATGAAGTATCTAAATAACGATCCTTATCTTTGATAAGGATCGTTAAAAGAAACGAATTATTTTCGGTTTGTTAAATAACTTTTAAACCACTTCAAAATTACACCATCCACTCCATAATATTTAAGTTTATGAATCAAAATGCCATGATTTACTGTATCAAATGCTTTTGATAAATCCAAAAAAATACCTAAAGTGAATTGGGAATTTTTGAAAGAGTTGGAGATTTCACGGACGAATTGAATGATTGCATGCTCAGTAAAACTATTTTTTAAAGCCAAACTGATTTTTATAAAAAAAATTCTTCTCCTTAAAATAAGTATATAATCTATTGTAAATAATTTTTTCTAAGATTTTTGAAAATGTTGATAAAATAGAAATAGGTCGGTAGTTACATATATTAGTTCTGTCTCCTTCTTTTTATATTGGGATTATCTTAGCTATTTTTAACTTATCAGGAAAAACTCCTTGTTGTATTGACGCTCTGAAAACTTAAAAGAGAATATCTTTTAATTTTTCAAAGCATTCTAAGACTATGTTTCCATTTATTTCATCAGCTCCAGGGGCTTTGTTTTTTTAATAGATTTAAACGACACTTAAAACTCCTCAAATGATAGCTCAGAAGATAAATTATTTGAACAAATGCAATCATCCATCGGTGTTAAAAAGTTATTGAACACAACTTGGGTATTAGGAATTTTATTTGCTAATATCAATAAAGAATTTGTTAAACTCATGAGCTATTAATCTAGGTTCAAAAATATCTTGTTTATCCACTCTAATCACCTGCGGTAGGGAACCTAAGCAAATTTTTTGTTTTCCACCAATTTCTCTTAATATTTTCCAAGTACGTTTAGAGTCGTTCTTAACATTTCCAATTAATTTCAAGTAGTAATTCTTTTTTAAATTTTTACGTATTTTTTCAAATAGATGTTTGTAATCTTTGTATAATTTTTCGTTTAAAGATGTTTTTGTTTTTAAGTAATTTATATATAGCTTTTGTTTGATCTTAGATGATTTTTTAAAACCCTTAGTTTTGATTTATTGTTTTTTCACAGATGGGAAAATTAGCATCATAGACAGAATAAAATGTTTTTAAAAAATTTTCATAAATTTTATTTGCGTCGTCATTAAAATTTATATGCTTCCAATGAAGCAGTGATAATTGTTTTTTAAACTGTTCAATATTGTTTATATTATATATGCGTTTACTTATTTTATTATTAGTTTTGGTTTTAATTTTAGAATTTGAGTTGAATGATTGAAATATTAGAAAATGATCAGTTATATCTGCTTTCAATATACCTTTTTGTGTATTGTTATTGAAAACATCAGTTGTAATAATGTTATCAATGAGAGTTGCTGTGTTTGCTGATACTCTACTTAGATGATTAATTAGGGGAATTGCTCCTATTTCAAATATTAAATCATAAAATTTTTTTATTTTACAGTCATTCTCGTAGTTTAAAAAATTCATGTTTAGATCGCCAATAATAATTTTTTTTTTTTTTCTTTATTGCCTATTTTGATAACATTTTTCTCAAAAAACGTGCTCAGATTCTCACTAAGACCGTCAGGTGGTCGATAACAGCAGCTTAGTAATACATTTTTAGATTCATTGTTTAAGATTTCAATGGTTACAATTTCTTTATCGCCGTCAGAAACACTTAAATCATTCCTAACGTAATGCGCAATGGTTTCTTTCACGTAAATAAGAACTCCGCCACCGCGTTTATTTGTATGTCTCTCTTGGGATATTAACTCAAAACGGAGAAGATAAAAGTTTGTGTTATTACTTAAATCGTTTGCGTTTATCCAAGCTTGTCTTTAACTCTTTCTATTTGATGGGCTCGCTCAACCACTATATCATCGGCAATTCCAAGCTGGTTTTTAAAGATCTTTTTAACTGCTCATCCCACGTTTCAGACGATAGTTCTGCAACACCATCAACTCTTAAATTATTGCGACGAGATCTATTTTCTAGATATATATATTTTTTTTCAAAGTATTTATTTCTTTATTGATCTTTAAATTTAGTTGAGACAGCATTTCCTTGATGTTTTCCTCTTGGAAATTAATACTATCTTTAATGTCGCTAGTATCTTTTTCTAGTATTTCAACTCGGGATTTATTAAAACTAAGTTCTTTTTCAAGTTTATCTAGTCTGTCTGATAGTATTTTTATATTGGAACTCATTATTTTTGTAAAAGTTTCTTCTTGTTTTTTTAATAGTTTTTCAGTTTCTTTTAAAATGTTTTGCTTCTGATCTTCAAGCTTAGATATTATTAGATATTATTATTCTCAATATTTTCATTTTTCATTTCATTTCTCAAATTTTTCATTGATAGATCCATCTTCGCACAATTAAAAACAATAACGACTCACTCAATAATCCCTTTTCAAATCCGGCAAACAACTTTAAAAGCAACTTTCACTTATACCAAACAAAAAGTCGTGGCAAAGTCATTGCTCACAATGACTTTGCCACGACTACTTTGCATTCATACTAAATACGATGAGGTTTTCATTTATTTGTAAATATATAAAAAGTAATTACATCTTTTTGCGTTTAAGTTGGCCAATTTTCTTTTTAATTTGGCATTTTTTCATTTTATGGCAATTTTTGTCTAATGTTATCGCAGTCTTTATTGAACTGTAAGTAAATAACATAGCTATGTTAAATATAAGTATATGTAATAAACATGTAGATCGCTTCTCGGCCTAATGGATAAGATCAAGTGTAGTATCTGTTCTTATTTCGGCTCCGGACCATCTCACAATTGGTTACGGTGTTGTTAGAAAACAGAAACAGCACAAGATCGAAACCGTGACAGTCGATAGAGGTTCTTGGCGTAGTCGCTTTTTCAGTGTCTCCTTCTACGTCTGGAAATTTCAAAGCGATCCGTCCACTCCGGACGTTAAATGGAGATAAACCCTTAAGTGGGCGCTGCTCAGTTTCGGCTGAGTAGCAACTAAACCCTTAAATGGGCCATACTAAAAACCCTTAAATGGGAGTTTCTGCTCCCTAATGATACCGGCCTTCTAGTAAGACCCTGTGTAAGTCTGGTTTCAGCAGCAGATGTCCCTAGTTGGTTGGCAAAAAAAAATAAAAAATTAAACATGTAAAAAAAAAAAAGCATGTAATACATTAGATGCATTACATTGATTACAATGCAACATATCGCTTCTCAGCCTAATGGCTAAGATCAAGTGTAGTATCTGTTTTTATTTTGGCTCCGGA